TTCGGGATAATCGTGGTGTGAGTCGTTCGGGCCCCTCGTCCTGGTGTGAGTCGTTCTAGCAGTAGCAGTACCAGTAGCAGTAGCAGTAGCAGTCGTTTGGGCTAATCGTGGTGTGAGTCGTTCGGGCCCCTCGTCCTGGTGTGAGTCGTTCGGGCTCCTCGTGGGGCCTCTTGGGGGACTCTTGGAGCCTCTTGGGGCCTCTTGGGGGCCTCTTGGGGGCCTCTGGTTGGCCTCTTGGGGGCCTCTTGGGGCCTCTTGGGGCCTCTTGGGGGCCTCTTGGGGGCCTCTTGGGGGCCTCTTGGGACCGCTGGTGCGCCTCTGGGGGGCCTCTAGGACGCCTCTTGGGAGCCTCCTGGGAGCCTCTGGAGGCCATTTTGGGGCCTCTTGCGGCCTCCTCGGAAGCGCCAATGAGAGCTGTCCCCTGAAAAGAACAAAATGAGCCCAAAACCTTAGTAAAAACAATGGTTTGGCTATGAAGGAAGATGAGCGCGGCCCCCTCATAGCGCCAAAATGAGGCCAAAACCGTAGTAAAATCAATGATTTTGGCTTTAAAGAAGAGCAGAGGGGCCAAAGTGGGCCCCCCCGTCGGAGCCAGAATCCTCGTGAGGGTCGTCGTTTTTTGGCCCTTCCAGGAGTCAAAAAAGACCGCCCTGACGACGCTCGGCCCGCCCTCTCCAGGTCCAGGGGTAGGGGGTAGGGGGAGGGGTAAACCCCTCCCCGAAGGGGAAGAAGGGGGGTTGGGGGGTTGAGGACAGAGAAAGCTCGCTAAACCACTCACGCCCAAAGGGCTGGTGGGATTTCCCTGGCTTCCCGCGGTCCGTTCTCACCGTAGTTACTGCGGCCGACGGACTGCCGCGCGTTGCTGGAGCCGGCAGGTAGTGCCGTCCAGCCAGCGGACAGTGGCGGACGTCTCGTCCAGCTCCTCGACGACGCAACCGTGGTACGTCTTGCCGAGCCTGCCCTGTACTGCGTCGCCAATCGCGATCGGCTTTCTGGCAGTCCAGGTCTTCCGTGGGCCCCGTAGTCCAGCTGGCCGTCCTCGGAGTCCTGCCTGTGATCCTCGAGGCTCTGCTTGTGACCCTGGTAGCTCAGCCCATGGTCCCAGTAGCTCGGCAGGTTGTCCTCCCAGCTCTAGTGGTGGCCGTTCTTGCGCAGCAGGTGGCACAGCTCGTCGTCCCTGTAGCTCTGCGAGAGGCTCTCGCAGTTCTGCTTGTGGTCGGCGTGGCTCAAGTCGTAGCCCCCATAACTCCAGCTGGAGCCCTCGTAGCTCAGCTGGTGGGTCTTGAAGTTCTGAGTCTGGTCCTTGCAGTTCAGCTCGTCCCCCCAGATGCTCCGCAGAAGGTTCTGGTAGATCTTCATCAAGTCCGCGCAGCTCTGGTCGTGGGCCTCGTGGCTCAGCAGGTGCCCTCGTGGATCTCGGAGCTGTGCCCGTGGGTCCTCGCAGCTCAGCTCGCAGTTCTCGTGGCTCTGCCCGTGTCTGTCGTTGTGGCCATTTTAGCTCCGCAGGTGGTCCTTGTAGCTGAGCTGGTGGCTCTCGGATTGTTGCATCTGTGCCTTGCTGTTCGGCTCGTCGCCCCAGTAGTTCTGCAGGAGGCACTCGTGGTTCTTCTTGTGGTCCGCGTACGTGGCCCTGGTTGCCAAGCGGATGGTCTTTGTAGCTCTCGTAGTTCAGCTGGCGGACCTCGGAGCGTTTTCTGCGGTGTGCGCAGCCCTGCGTCTGGCCCTTGTAGCTCAGCGCGTGGTCCTAATAGCTCAGCGCGTGGTCCTCAGAGTTCAGCTGGTGACTGTCCTTGCTCAGCAGGCGGTGCTTGCAGTTCAGCTCGTAGCCCCCGTGGCGCTGCGGGAGGCTCTCGTAGTTCTGCCTAGGCCCAGGGTTGCTCAGGCAGTGGGCCCCCACGGCTCTGCCTGTGGCCCTCGCACCACCCCCTGGATTAAACAGTGGTGATCGACACTATGCTAGGGAACACCCCCTGGGTCTTCGCACATCGAAAGAAAACTCAAGCATCGACCGTCGATCGATTCCAAGTAACTCCCAGACAGAGTCGTGGCCCGAACGGAGGAACGGCGACGGGGGGTGGACGAGACGCGCGGTTGTTAGGACAGCCCAAACGAAGGCGCCACTCCTTGGCGGTGTGAAAGGCGGTCAGGAAATACCCTGCGAGGAATTATCAGGCGATGTCGCTGCTCTCAAGCGGCATGGAGATGGATCGGGTTTTTGTTGGGGAAAGTCCCACGCGTAATCGCCAATTTTCAGATACCGCGGCAAATTTTCAGATCGCCCTGGAAGGCGATCTGACATTTTGGTTTGTTGCGGAAGTGCCAGGCGGAATCGCATTTTCAGACGCTGACCCCATTTGGTTGTTATACTATTGCAAGGGGTGAGAGATGCATCTGGAATTCCCGAATCGGCCCCGAGCCCAACATTGTCCCGGGGCCCCGTGGCCTAACGGGAGGCCAACCGCGTCTTTCTCGATCCCCACGGTCTCCACTTTTTAATCCAGCGGGTTGTAGTTCAGTTGGTGGGTCTTGGAGTTCTGCTCCTGGTCCGCGCCGTTCAGCTCCTCGCCCGAGTTGTTCTGCAGGGGGGTCAGGTAGATCTTCTTGTAATCTGCGTAGCTCTGGTTTTGGCCCGGGAAGTTCAGCGGGTGGCCTCGTAGCTTTCGTGGTTGTGCCCGTGGTCCTCGTAGCACAGCTGGTTGCTCCGGTAGCTCAGCTGGTAGTCCCTGTAGCTCAGCTGGTGGACCTTGTAGCGCAGTAGGCAGTGCTTCTGGTTATGCTGGTAGTTCTTGCAGTCCTGCTTGTGGCTGGCGAACCTCGTTGCTCCGCTTGTGGCTCGCGTGGCTCGCCAGATGATTCTCGCAGCGCGGCAGGTGGGTCCTTTAGTACTTCTACTTGTGGCTCCAGTAGCCCTGGTTGTGGCTTTCGTAGCTCGGCCTGTCGTCCTCGTAGCACGGCTCGTAGCTCTCGTGGTTCAGCTGGCGGCTCTCGTAGCTCTGGTTCTCGCAGCTCCGCTCGCAAGTCTCGCAGCTCCGCTCGTGGCTCTCGTTGCTCGGCACGCGGGGCTTGGAGCTCTTCGGGTTTCTCTCGTGGCGGTGCGTGTGGTCCTCGTAGTTCAGCTTGTACACCTTAGGCGATGCTTAAGAAAACTTAAATTTTCGGCCAGAGTCTCGATTATTCTTAATGTTTCGATGTAAATCCTAATATTTGAATCGAAATGTTGGGTTTTAATTCAAGTTCTGAGACTATGAATTTCTTAACCCATGATTTCTTAAGCATTTCGCAGGGTGCAGTTCCCGAAGGTCGTCTGGTGGCCCCGGTGGCTCTGCTGGTGGCTGTGGCAGTTCAAAGGGCACGTCCTCTTCGTGGACCCCGAGGACCGAGTCGGAGCCGTCGGCCGCCAAGTCGGAGAGGCTCACACACTTAGTGCTCACGCTCCGTCCCTCTCCATTCCTTTCGCCCCCTGTCTCTGCATCCTTCCCTGGCCATCGCATCTCTCCGCCTTGTCTCCACGTTGGCCTCGTGCGCTATCCTATCTAGCCCCTGCGAAGATCTACGTTCTGGGTGTCTCTGTCGTCCTCGCGGTTGTCGCAGCCCTGCGGTCCGTCGTAGTCGTGGGTCGTGGAAGTACAGGTCGTTATCGGACACATCGTCGTAGTAGTACTCGTCGTAGGTGGCGCGGCCGTGGTCCATGGGTACCTCCACGACGACGTACCCAGTAACTTGTTCGGGCTGTTCGGTCGTGTCTTTCTTGGTGTCAGTCTTGGTGTCAGTCTTGGTGACGTACTCGGTGTCGTACTTTGGCTGCCTCTCGCGTAGCTCTTCCTCGGAATGCATATTACGCAGCTCTTCCTCAGTCTGCACGTCGTGCAGCCCATCCCGTCCTGTAGCAGGTGCCATCATGAAGGTGGTCGAAGCGAAGGTGTTGATGCCGTTGAGGGGTGGTGTCAGCCAGTGTCGGATGAGGTAACCCGTTCTCTTGGGAGTCGCATGTGTCCATACTTCTCTATGCGAGTATAGCCTCGCCATCCTGCCAGTAGTCTCCACCGACGTTGGTAATTCTCGCAGCTGATATTGTAGACCTCTAGCTTGTAGTTTGTCAGCTGGTGGATGACCTTCCTCAGCTTGAAGTGCGTCAGCCGGTGGATGCCCTTCCTCTTGTCGGCTTGTAGTTCGGCAGCTTGTCACGCGCGCCGCCATGGCGGCGGCGCGCTGGGGCCGCCCCCCCCCTCTTTGTGCGGGTGGTGGGTTGCGCCCCATCCTTTTCCCCGCAGGGGCCAGAATGGCCCTTCATTCTTTTCCTCCTCCTCCTCCTCCTCCTCCTCCTCCCCTTCTTCCTCCTCCTCCTCCTCTTCATCCTCCTCCTGCTCCTGCTCCTGCTCCTGCTCCTCCTCTTCCTCCTCCTCCTCCTCCTCCTCCTCCCCGCTTCCCTCTCTCAAGATCGGCCCAGGGCTTTGTCCTAGAGCTTCTTTTTTGTCGGGGACTTCTTGGCGACGATGACCCTCCCGAAAGGTAGAACATACAAGCTCCCACCATCCTCTCATTCTCCTGCCCTCTTCTTAGCCTCCGAACAACCATTGGATCTCCAGAGGCCGCATGCCACTTCCTTTTTTTGCTTCAAACCATTCGGACGCTTGCAGCGCGCGTTGGGAACCTCAGTGAATGCTCAAAGAGCTCCCGCGGTCTTATCCGCGTCGGATGATGACGAGCGCTACAGGGGGCCTTTTGGCAACCCGTAGCCGACAGAGGTGCTAATTTCTTGTCCTTTTTCCCGCTCCTTTCTTGCTTCCCTTGCCTTCCTTCTCTCAGTGACCGTCCGCCTGTCGAGGCTTGCCCCGGTGGAATCGGCTGTTTTGCCCGTCGAACACCCGTTACCCACATTAGCACAACGCATCCTCTGCCTCCTCTCCTCCCTATCTCCTCCCTCGAGCAGGAGGACAGGGGGAGAGCAGGAGGAGGTGGAGCACGACAAAGATGAATACCCCCTCTCCTCGTTCGCCGAGGAGCCGTCCGAGCACGTCGGAGCGGGCGTGGGCCATGCGCACCAGCCAGTCGATGCCCTCCTTCAAGTCCGCCAGCTCGCCGGACGGCACCGCGAGGACCGTTGCATCATCGGGACGACCGACATGGGTATGGAAAGAATGGGTACACAGACCGACAGCAGGTCCTGTTGATTCTGAACAGAATTCTCTGTCCGCGCCGCCGCGGCCTGTGTCCACTTGAGACAGAAGGCCGCCTGCCCAACAGCGGCCGCTGATGGTTTGAGACAACATGTGTTGTTGGGCATTGTACCAATTTTTCCGTACCCATTTCGAGCATCCAAACATCAGTTCGAAGAGCCAGCAGTTCAGAGGAGGCGAAGGTACCGATGTCGCTGCCTTTGCCCAGCCTCGCCCTCGTCGCCACGGCTGGGTGTGCCTTGATTTGTTTGTCAGGGCGCACCCCGGGAGAGGTTCCGGGAATGTCGGTATGGGCACCTTATTGTCTCCCAGCGCGTCTACGACTTTTTTGCGAAATCCACCGCTATGTGTCCGATCGACTTTGGGAAATCTTACACCCACGCAGGGGGAGTACTTGGCTGCAATCTGGCCTTGAGCTTTGGTTCTGGGCCCCAACATCTCTTTTTTGTTGGCGTTGGGCGCGCGTCCTCGTGCGTATGTACGTTGCTCGTCCCACCGTCCCTGCCCTCCACCTTGGGGCCATCGTGGCTCTCGTGGCAGGGCGCTGTCTCGACCGTTTTCCCTCTTGCACAGCCGAAGGCAGTCGGTACGAGAGAGCCTTCCAGTTGCTGTGCCTCTGCAATTGGAAGCTTTTGCGCTCGCAGCTCGGTGTCCACCTGCGGCCCTGTGTGCCTGCCCCCTCTCTTAGAGATGTTGCGGCAGGTGCACATAGAGCTTGGGCACCTGGACGCAGAGGTCCTTTCGGCCTCTCGTCGAGCTGTCTCACTTGCGCTGTGACTCAGGCTTTTGGCCTGGGTCAAGGAGCCAGCATCCCCCTCCGCTGCTGGCTCGTTTCCTTGGTCAGTCCAAGGTTGTGGAGGCGTTGGCGTTGATGTCAAAAAAATACTTGGCTGCAGGCATCTCTCAGTGTCAGAGTCCTGGCAGGTTTTTTAGCATCAAAAGTTTGACCTGCAGGCGTATGGTTCTCGTGGGCGAAAACATACCCGCATCCGCGGCATCACGGGCCAGTCCCTTGGGCCGCGACCCAACGGATACGTAGCGTTTTTTCGTGGATGCCCCCGCGTGGAACGTAGCCTTGCGACCGCGCATCCGCGGTGTCGCTCACGATCTACACAGCGAGGGCGCGGCTACGCAGAACGGCAGGGTTTTTAATACTAACGGGGCCACCTTGAAGTTCTATGTTGACAGTTCGGTTCGTCGTTATTGTCCTCGTCCTTTCCTTCACCCTCATCATCACCATCACTATCTCCATCTCCATCTCCATCATCATCATCATCATCATCATCATCATCATCATCATCATCATCATCATCATCATCATCGTCATCGTCGTCGTCGTCGTCATCATCATCATCATCATCAGCACCCTCACCATCACCCTCACCATTATCACCACCATCATCACCATCACCATCACCATCACCATCACCATCACCATCACCATCACCATCACCATCACCATCATCGTCATCATGGCCATTTTGGCTCAAGCCGTCCAGTGTGTCGCATGGAGCAATTGCCGGGAGAGCCCGCGCAAGCCGGCGTCGTCGCGGCGGCCGTGGGCGCGGCGGCCGCGTCAGCGGCGGCCTGGGCGCCGCCCTCCCGCCCTACGCTTAAGTCGGGCCTGTCCCTCTACAGGAGGAATATTCAAAAATAGTTATTAAATGATACGGGGACGATTTTTCTCAGCATGTTTGAATATTTTAGGGTTTTGTTTGACTTTTTGTTATTTCGCCCAAGCTCCCCCTGTAGGGGGACAGGCCCGACCTAATCCTACGCTGCTGCCGCCGCGGAGCGGATGGGCCAGGCAACTGCCCGCGCCGGAGCCGCAGCGGCCGCGGCCCATTCGCAGAGGCCGAGGGCGGCCCCGCCCGCGCCTCTGCCGACGACAGCCCCGTCTTCGGCTCCATCCGCACCTCCGCCGATGCGCAGCCGGACGTCCCGCCTGGACATTGGATCGGGAGCCTTGAGACGGGGGTCGATGCAAACGGGGGTCAGCCAGAGCGCCAGATCTTGTAGGATCCTGCAGGGCCAGGCTCCCATGGACTTGGGTTTGGGTGCAGGGTCCTGCAGGATCTTGCAGGATCCTTCGCGCTGACCCGGGTTTGGGTGCAGGGTCCTGCAGGATCTTGCAGGAGCTCGCAAGGCCTGGCTGGCCCGGGTCTGGATCGACCCGGGTCAGGAGATCCCCGACCGGACGCCGCCTCGAAGCGGGATCCCGACCTGGCGGGCGGGATTACAGGCAGGGGTTTCGGGCTGGGGCCTCACCGGCGCGAGAGCAACGGCGCGGCGGCCCGTTGCTCAACGGGCGCGGAGGAGGAGGAGGAGGAGGAGGAGGAGGAGGAGGAGGAGGAGGAGGAGGAGGGAGGCCTCTTCAGTGGGGTGACCCACCCCGTCGAGGCGCCCGCGGCCGCGCCCACAAGCCCTTGGCCCTGCCGGCGGCCGGGTGGAGCGGAGCGTGGCGGCCCCGCCGCGGCGCCCGCGGCCGCGCTCGCCCACGAGCCCCATCGCCCCTGCGGGCGGCGCCTCCTCCTCCTCCTCCTCCTCCTCCTCCTCCTCCTTTTCCTCCTCCTCCTCCTCCTCCTCCTCCTCCTCCTCCTCCTCCTCCTCGCGGCAGTCGGCGGCGCAGCAGCAGGCGCCGACGAAGGAGATGAAGGAGAGGGAGGCGAAGAGGTGCAGGAAGCACCGAGGGCTCAGCGCTTCCCCCTCTGCGGGCACCGAGGGCCGCGCCGATGGCCCCCATCGGCTGGGAAGCCGAGCGGCTCTGGTGGGAGGGCCTGCTCCAGCCTCTCGGGATTGTCACCGCCTGGAGCTCTGGAGGTCAGGATCGCACGCTTCTTTCTAAGCTCCATTCGGAAGAGCTGCGTATCGGCTCTGTTATTGACTGTTATCGATGCTTATATTGATAATGGACGTGTCTGGTTTACGGGCCCTGCACCATCACGGTGGTGCCTTGCCGTAGCGGCGGCTCCGGGCCGCAGATCTGATACTGCACGTAGGACCTGAACGACTCGGCTGTTGACTACGACCCGGCGGCGGAGCTCGCCTCGGACCCTGGGCTTGTTCTTTCGGAGTACGACGTGGGCCGCTTTCGAGCTCGAGCAGGGCAGCTTCTCGACAGTTAGTGGTTCCAGGCCGGACAAGACCCACGGCTCCCAGCAGGACCCACTTTGCGACCCCAAGCAGGACCAGAACGGCGACTACAGCACATGGGACCAGAACGGCGGCCCCAAGCAGGACCGTGACGGCGACTCCAGCGAGAAGAGCCCGAACTTCGGCTCCGAGCGCGCCCAGAACGGCAACTCCAGCGAACAGGACCCAGTGCTATTACATCCTTCTGACTTACGGCCTCGTGCATGATATTTTTGGGTCTTCGGCCCTAGCCCTGCCAGCAAATTGGGGCCGCAACAGCGGTGGCGGCCGCTGCATGTCGAGCGAGGGCTCGTTTTGCGCCACCTTCGCAACGCCTCTGTTGCAACGGCACCTGGCGTCGCATCGAGACCCGAACTTTTACACTGCATGCTAGAGTGTTTGGCGGGAGCGCTGCGGTTTCCTTCTGGGTTCCGCGGCTGGCGGTGCGGCTCGCGGTAGGTTTTGGCGTCCTCGTAGTTATGCGCTTGGTGTTGTTTGCATCGGGGCCTGGCTGCTGGCCATCTCTGCCCCGTCGATGGCTTGCCCCTCCGCTCAGGTGGAAGCGCACAGGAGGCGTGGCGGCTGTGACTGGCTTGGCGCGCGCTTTTCACAATCGTACTAGTTACCTCTCAACTTTGGAGTTCTCCATCACATTGTGCGTTCTGTATTAGACATATCCCTTTGGCCTTTAACGGTGATGGGTACTCGTGAAGGATCATGTTCTTGGCCATGGCTTGCGGCGTGATGCTATTCCATTTCCGATCGGCGTTCCGTTTTTCGACGCGGTGGTGTTGGTGACCATTAGCGGACACTCGTGAGGCTCACGGTCGCCATGCTCATATGCGTCTTCCTCATGTTGGTTGTCTCCCTTTTCGGTCATCACACTTTTCGCTTGGCGCAGGGTGATCGGATATCATGGACGAATACTCTCGAGGCCAATGATCGTTATGCTTATGCTTCCTTGGTGCGTTTGTGGTCCTTTCGGGGTGCTGGCAGGCTTCAATCAGTTCCTGGCCGGAGTCTCCCCGACCATTGCCTTTGCTTCCGTTTTCGCCCATTTGCCCGCGCGGGGCGGCGGATAATCAGATTGCATGTTGGGGGTGGTGTGGCCCGAGTGGAATGTGGAAACAAACGAGAGCAGATGCGGCGCGCTCCCGCTGCTACACTATCGCGTCTCATTCTTGTCCGCGGACTCATTCGAAGGGGGCAAGTGGTCCAATAGTGGCCGACAAGCAAGGTCGCGACAGTCGCGCCCGCCACCGTCGCGCATCTGGCATTGTCGCGCCCTCGGACATCTCAGACGACGAAGCGGGACCGGAGATTCCCCACTCTGGTCCGCGGGGGCTCTCGCCCAGTACGATGAGCAGATGGCCGCGGGCGCTGTCCGGGGCGTCGCCGCCGAGGCTGCCGCGGCAGCCGCGGCCGAGCAGTTCGCTCAGACGGGCGCCGCCGCGGCCCGGGCCCCCGCTAAGCTGGGCGAAGCTTATCATGCGCAGTTTGCTCCGCAGGCCGCGCAGGTCGCCGCTGTCTATTCGCGCGTCTCGCGCGTGGAGCAAGAGCGCGATCTCCTCGGACAGCAGGTGGATGACCTGTCCAAACGCGCGGGCATCGCAGAGCAACCCGCGGCCGCTGCCGGGGGCGAGATTCGGGCGGACTGCGACAGCTACCGCTGGGCGAGCGCGACCCCGCCATCATTGCGCTTGACGCCGGGGACTTTGTCTCGCGCGCCGAGGCCCGCGCCCTCGCCGTCAAGGCGTCGACGGCCGCCAACGTTGTCGCGAACCGTCTCCA